CTTGCCTCGAAAATGGAGGCTGCGCCGGGCCGATAGTTCGACCCACTAGCTTCAACATGCTTTACAACACATGGGCCTCCACCCTCTTCCCCATAGACTCCTAACACAAGTGAGCCTTGGGGCCTCCGCCGGAATTAAAAAGTATTATATTTTTAAAACGGCGTAGTAATTACTCCGCTGGCCTGCGTAGGGTGAACGGCACTTTGAGGTACTCCGCTACTCCGCAAGAGCTTGTTAAGATGATGCACAAGTGGGTCGAAACTTTCGGCCCGGCGATGCCTTCTGAATCGTTTCTTAGACGGGGATGTCTGTCTAGGGGACCCTGCAGGAGGTCGTTAGGTCACACAGCAACAAGTTTGGCGAGGTTTGCTGAACAGAAAGGTCCCGGTGAGGCATCGGGAGGACGAAAGTTTTGACCTACTGGGCCTTTCTTGTCTTAAGGCATCTTGCGGAGTAGCGGAGTAGCGACAAGTGCGATTTACGTGGCCTGGCCAGCGGAGTATTTTATACCCCGTTTTAAAATTATACTACTTTAATGTTCCGGAGGAGTAACCGGTGGTCCTGTGTGCTAGGATTCTACGGGGGAATGGGGGCCTGTCTTGGACGAACAAGGAATAGGTCAAACTTTCGTCCTACCGCAGCGTCAATTTTGGGTGCCAGAGTCCAGCCCAAGCAAACCCAGGGTGAAAGTGTTCGGCTTTGCTTTCACCAAGACTGCGAAGGAGGGGACTCTTGCCTCGAAAATGCAGGCTGCGCCGGGCCGATAGTTCGACCCACTAGCTTCAACATGCTTTACAACACATGGGCCTCCACCCTCTTCCCCATAGACTCCTAACACAAGTGAGCCTTGGGGCCTCCGCCGGAATAAAAAGTATTATATTTTAAAACGGCGTAGTAATTACTCCGCTGGCCTGCGTAGGGTGAACGGCACTTTGAGGTACTCCGCTACTCCGCAAGAGCTTGTTAAGATGATGCACAAGTGGGTCGAAACTTTCGGCCCGGCGATGCCTTCTGAATCGTTTCTTAGACGGGGATGTCTGTCTAGGGGACCCTGCAGGAGGTCGTTAGGTCACACAGCAACAAGTTTGGCGAGGTTTGCTGAACAGAAAGGTCCCGGTGAGGCATCGGGAGGACGAAAGTTTTGACCTACTGGGCCTTTCTTGTCTTAAGGCATCTTGCGGAGTAGCGGAGTAGCGACAAGTGCGATTTACGTGGCCTGGCCAGCGGAGTATTTTATACCCCGTTTTAAAATTATACTACTTTAATGTTCCGGAGGAGTAACCGGTGGGTCCTGTGTGCTAGGAGTCTACGGGGGAATGGGGGCCTGTCTTGGACGAAGGCAGGAATAGGTCAAACTTTCGTCCTACCGCAGCGTCAATTTTGGGTGCCAGAGTCCAGCCCAAGCAAACCCAGGGTGAAAGTGTTCGGCTTTGCTTTCACCAAGACTGCAAAGGAGGGGACTCTTGCCTCGAAAATGGAGGCTGCGCCGGGCCGATAGTTCGACCCACTAGCTTCAACATGCTTTACAACACATGGGCCTCCACCCTCTTCCCCATAGACTCCTAACACAAGTGAGCCTTGGGGCCTCCGCCGGAATTAAAAAGTATTATATTTTTAAAACGGCGTAGTAATTACTCCGCTGGCCTGCGTAGGGTGAACGGCACTTTGAGGTACTCCGCTACTCCGCAAGAGCTTGTTAAGATGATGCACAAGTGGGTCGAAACTTTCGGCCCGGCGATGCCTTCTGAATCGTTTCTTAGACGGGGATGTCTGTCTAGGGGACCCTGCAGGAGGTCGTTAGGTCACACAGCAACAAGTTTGGCGAGGTTTGCTGAACAGAAAGGTCCCGGTGAGGCATCGGGAGGACGAAAGTTTTGACCTACTGGGCCTTTCTTGTCTTAAGGCATCTTGCGGAGTAGCGGAGTAGCGACAAGTGCGATTTACGTGGCCTGGCCAGCGGAGTATTTTATACCCCGTTTTAAAATTATACTACTTTAATGTTCCGGAGGAGTAGCCGGTTGGTCCTGCTTGTTAGGATTCTATGGGGGAATGGGGGCCTGTGTTCGACGAAACAAGGAGTAGGTCAAACTTTCGTCCCACCGCAGCGTCAATTTTGGGTGCCAGAGTCCAGCCCAAGCAACCCCAGGGTGAAAGTGTTCGGCTTTGCTTTCACCAAGACTGCAAAGGAGGGGACTCTTGCCTCGAAAATGGAGGCTGCGCCGGGCCGATAGTTCGACCCACTAGCTTCAACATGCTTTACAACACATGGGCCTCCACCCTCTTCCCCATAGACTCCTAACACAAGTGAGCCTTGGGGCCTCCGCCGGAACTAAAAAGTATTATATGTTTAAAACGGCGTAGTAATTACTCCGCTGGCCTGCGTAGGGTAAACGGCACTTTGAGGTACTCCGCTACTCCGCAAGAGCTTGTATGTAAGATGATGCACAAGTGGGTCGAAACTTTCGGCCCGGCGATGCCTTCTGAATCGTTTCTTAGACGGGGATGTCTGTCTAGGGGACCCTGCAGGAGGTCGGTAGGTCACAAAGCAACAAGTTTGGCGAGGTTTGCTGAACAGAAAGGTCCCGGTGAGGCATCGGGAGGACAAAAGTTTTGACCGACTGGATCTGTCTTGTCTTAAGACGTCTTGCGGAGTAGCGGAGTACCGAAAAGTGCGATTTACGTGGCCTGGCCAGCGGAGTATTTTATACCCCGTTTTAAAATTATACTACTTTAATGTTCCGGAGGAGTAGCCGGTTGGTCCTGTTGTTAGGATTCTATGGGGGAATGGGGGCCTGTGTTCGACGAAACAAGGAGTAGGTCAAACTTTCGTCCCACCGCAGCGTCAATTTTGGGTGCCAGAGTCCAGCCCAAGCAACCCCACAATTAAAGTGTTCGGCTTTGCTTTCACCAAGACTGCGAAGGAGGGGACTCTTGCCTCGAAAATGCAGGCTGCGCCGGGCCGATAGTTCGACCCACTAGCTTCAACATGCTTTACAACACATGGGCCTCCACCCTCTTCCCCATAGACTCCTAACACAAGTGAGCCTTGGGGCCTCCGCCGGAACTAAAAAGTATTATATGTTTAAAACGGCGTAGTAATTACTCCGCTGGCCTGCGTAGGGTAAACGGCACTTTGAGGTACGCCGCTACTCCGCAAGAGCTTGTATGTAAGATGATGCACAAGTGGGTCGAAACTATCGGCCCGGCGATGCCTTCTGAATCGTTTCTTAGACGGGGATGTCTGTCTAGGGGACCCTGCAGGAGGTCGGTAGGTCACAAAGCAACAAGTTTGGCGAGGTTTGCTGAACAGAAAGGTCCCGGTGAGGCATCGGGAGGACAAAAGTTTTGACCGACTGGATCTGTCTTGTCTTAAGACGTCTTGCGGAGTAGCGGAGTACCGAAAAGTGCGATTTACGTGGCCTGGCCAGCGGAGTATTTTATACCCCGTTTTAAAATTATACTACTTTAATGTTCCGGAGGAGTAGCCGGTTGGTCCTGCTTGTTAGGATTCTATGGGGGAATGGGGGCCTGTGTTCGACGAAACAAGGAGTAGGTCAAACTTTCGTCCCACCGCAGTATATATGTACATTTACTTTTTCTTTCTATATATACACATGTATGTGTACATGTTTTGCTTTAGGTGGTCCGGAAGCATGGTGGCGACTTGGTCGTGGAGTCCGAGCAAGGCGTGGGCTCCATCTTCCGCGCCTGGGCTTCGAGTTTCCTGAAGTAAGCCTGTGTGCATATATGTCTACATCTACATATGTGTACATACATATCTCCATGCGGATATGCATAATTAGTATGATACATACATACATACATACATATATACATACATATATATATATGTATGTATAAATTTATGTCACAGGTGTAACGGTGTATGAAGATGTGTATATGTGTTGTAATTTCTCTGTGTTTGTTGTACTACGGTTCACCTTAATGCTGGAATAAAGGGGGGAGCCAGGCCCGGCCAGGCCGTGCATTAGGGATCCGAGGATCCTACAAGGGTTTCGGGTCCTAATACCAAAAATAGCAAGAGAGCCTCCGAGGCGGGAGAGCTCCAGAGAGCTCCCGAGGCGGGAGCTATGGAGAGCCTCCAAGACGGGAGCTTTGAAAGAATACAAGTAATAATTGTGATAAGAATATCGATAATATAACAATAATAGTAATACGAATACTAGGATCCCACTGTGTGGCGTATGCTGCTTTTCTGCGGGTTATGGCGGCCGCATTGAGATTGCGGATCCTGTTTCTCTGGGTGTTCTGGAACGCGGGTGAGGATGATTGTTTCATGATGCACCTTCGATCCAATCCAACCAGGATGGACCTCACGGGGGAGTAGGACGTATTGTGTATTCTGTAAGTACTTCCGACCGTTCATGGAAATGTAAGAGGCCTTCCTCTATTAGGCCTGTCGTCCTCCAAGTTCATCAAGGCCTTTGGCTTCAGTTACATGATCCGGCGTACACGATACGAGAAAACCTGTACTTTCCCGTGGCGTCGGAATCGAACAAATGCTCTTCCACATTGCAAGCGGCTTTGTCTCGGATATGCTTAGTCTTCGTAAAAGCATGTATGGTGGTTTAGGGTTTGGGGCAGTTATGGAGAAAAATCAGCATTCGTGGATCGCATCTCCTCCCCCAATATTCGTTCGATCATTGAGATGGCGGTTTAGTTTTTCGAAGCCCCGCACGGTGCCCATCTCCTTACACGGTACGGCTTGTACGTGGCCGAAGTTCTGTGCATTGTAGCATGTCTTCAGGCTATGATCTCCCTCTCTCTCTCTCTCTCTCTCTCCCTCTCTCTCTCTCTAGTTGTGGTTTTCCTGCTCTCATGCATCCACACAGGGACATAAAATGACTGTCTCTTTCTATAGACATCTGACTGGCTTGGTGCATGTCTTCGTGCAAAAGCAGATCGGAATTTGTAGAACGCGCTGTTGCTGGATCCCCCGCAACTGAGCCTTCATCTTAGGTGTCTCCCTGCCTTATAAGATGAAGTCACAAGATCTTGGCGACGTGGAGGTCTTCATAGCTTCGCAGTGTTGGCCGGCATGTCATGGGGGCATGGCCACCTCGAGCTGCAGAAATAAGTACCGGATAGCAGGACGAAGATGACAGCTCGAACCGCGCACTGGAGATGCCCACCGCAGCCCGGGCCTCGCGCTCAGCTTCTGCGAGTGGTATCGTGTGGTCCTTGCCGTTTGCTTTTCGTCTCCCATCTTGCGTGTGGGGTGCTCCTGAGGTCAGCTCGATGAGCCAGAAAGGGAGCCATGAAAACCAGAAGTCAGGGCATCTACCGCTGCACTAGGAATGAGGACCGAAGGGCGTGTGCTTGTGGCTCCAGCTCAGGACCCGCCGGCGGAAGAAGACCCCGTCGGATCCTGCAAGTGCCATGGCATGGCTAAGCTAAGCCGAAGTTCGTAAAGTTTGTGCTGTGCAAAGCGGCATCCGGCCCCGAGGCAGAGAGCCAGAAACGGCAGAAAGACATTTCACGGCGCTGAGCAACAAAGCCGCTTCAGATTCCAGCCTGGCGACGGAGACCATGAGCAACGCTTTCTCAGCGGAGGCGGGCCGGGCCGCAACATGCCGGACGGAGGGAAGAGAAACTGTGTCTCAAATAGGCCGATTATGCCCCGACAATCCTGTGCGTGGATGATGATCCCGTCCACCTCGAGGTGGTCCGGTCTTTGCCAGGAGCTCTGAGCATCGATTCCCAGATCAAAACGCTACTGAGTACTTCTCTATAGCCCAGGTTGACTCAACACGCGCTGAAGGCACACGGGGGGTGGGCGGAGGGTGCTCAGCCCGCATTTGCTGCGACACGTCGGAGAAGTTGCCAGGTCTATGCTGTTGCTGACGGAGATCAAGCCGTGCAGTTCTTGAAGATGCGAAGCGTGCAATTAATGCTGCTGGATGCCACCCCCTTAAACGACTCGTTGTGCGTTGTGCGTGAGTTGACTGGCGCACCGAAGTCCATAAACTCATCATGCAGATTTTAGGTTATGATGCCTGGCATGAGTGGCCAACGGGTGCTGCCACTTAGCTGCTTTTCTGTCTGCAGCGGCTGCTGCAATGGCAGCAAGTTTTTTCGTTCGCGTGAAGACGGCGGTAGACTCGGTAGACCCGCAAACGCACGTGGCATGACCTTGGGGCGATGCGGTTCAGATCTGACCACACCTCAGGTCATCCTCATCACCTTCGCCATCATGATCACCACAATTGTCGTCATCATCTCTCACACACACCTGCCCGAATAACAGCTTGTTGGCGTAGATGAGACAGTCTGTGGAGAGTTGCCCCTCTTGCGTCTTTACATCGTAGACTCAGCTTCTTTTGTCCCTTGCAGTGGCTTCCGGGCATAAACCGCTCTTGGGCCCTTACTTACAGCTTTTGTGCGGTCAACCCGGCGGCTGCGACTGACCACTGATTTCACGATTACAAAAGATCTTTCTTGCTTCTGCTACTTTGGACTGAGCCTTAAGCCTATCTGCGAAGACGACAAGACTAAGACTGTTTCGTGTAGAGTGCCATCCCAGGCGATCTGTTCGCAAATTCTACACCCCAGAGCAGCTGCCAATCATCATCGTGAGTGCGGTGTGCAGACAGGCAGTGGCTTGCAACTGAGACTGCCAGTGCCTCGAATTGCTGCAGAGGAGACTATGTCCGAATGTGCCAAGCTGGGTGCCAACGACTATGTCATGATGCTTGGCCGGGAGAGTAGAACTCCGACAGGTTGGTGCGGCCGTAGCTGCAACTGCAGTAGCCAGCTGCAACTGCACAAGCATGACGGCATGGTGTTGACGGCGCTACTTCATGCGCGGAGAAGGAGGGAGCCTTCTCAGGAAGCCCTTTGGCAGGGCTGAGCTGCTGGAGCACGTTCAGCTACATCTCAGCAAAGCCACGCAAGCACGGGTGTCCCGCAAAGCACGTGAGTTGAAGGTGGGAGAATCCGAAGTGTTGCAAGCGGACTGCTGAAGTTCGCCCCCTTGGCTAGGGCATTGAAGAGCTAGCTTCATCATCCACATCGACTGCGATGGAGGTGCATTTCCTTGAACAACTTGTCGACGCCAGCTGCCCGAATGTCTCGCGTGTGACGTTCTTCGTGAGGAACCACAGACCGCGGTCCACGTGCTGGCCAAGGAAATGGAGTGCTTTGGCTTGCAAGCCTCGCGTCGTGTGCCAGAAGTGTCGAGGAACTCATTCCAAAAATGCACGCAACACAGGCCCATAAACAACTCCGTCGCAGCATGCTTCGTCACAACATGCTCGTCCTTGTCGTCAGCCGCCCAAATCGTCTTCATCGACACTCACACTACCTCTCTCTCTCTCTCTCTCTCTCCCCTTCTTCTTCCAAACTACTGCTTTGCAATGCTTTGTTCCCTAAACAGCGTGGCAAGACTAGAAAGGTTTTCAGGTTCAGAGTACAAGGATCAGATAAGTGATGGTCCGCCGGTAAGCCCGCCCCTGTTTGCAAAAGAGCTCCCACTTCCCTGGGCCCACACTCTTCAGCCCCTTGGCCGCCTTGGCCCTGTCGTCCTAGTGGCCTTCCTCAGTTCCACCTGGGTCACACTTTGTCACACCTTCGAGGTGTCTGCTGGTTGCTGCTGGTTTGGGGATTCTCCGTGTTGGGCCCACGAGGCCCTCAAAACGGTCGAATGCCAAGCCCAGGTCTCGGTCGAAAGTGGCATCGGGTAGGGATCCCCGGCCAAGCAACCCACAAGAAAAGGGCCGTTCTTACGTCATAGGAAGCCCGTCTTCATGAGATTCCGAAAACCCAAAGCCTCGTCAAGCCGAGTTCAGGCCAGGGCCTCGGACCGCCAGGACGCTAGGATCTAGCCTTTCAGTTCCAAAGCTCACGTGGAGGTTTCTCTGGACCCTTGCCACCTACACGTCTCGTTGGCCACTCTTCCAGCCGCCGCCGAGGCGCATACGCTCAGACCGAGATGAAGCCGTGGAACGGGCTCAAGCCTTGCAGTGGCTTCCCTGCAGCTGAGCACGTGCAGGGAATGGCTGCTCTATTTAGAGGGGCGTTCCATCTTTCCGACAGCACGTACAGTGAAGGTGTCGACAAATAGAGTCTCCCTTGGTCAAAAGCGGACAAGGAGTTGCGCGTAAACTATGCCCAGCTAAGCGGAAGCAGAAGCGAGTGACGGTCCTTGGGCCACATGACCGTATGCTTCCCCCAGCGTTGGAGTAGGAAGGGACTGATTTGCATCTTGGGTCCTGAAAATTCACTTGGCCCAGGAAGCAAGTGGAGGTTTCTCAGCTGCAAGAAGCCAGAGGTCTCTCTCTTGAATTTTGGGTCTGCAAGAGACCTCTTTTTCTTAAGGCTCTGGAAGCAGAGCTCCAGAACAAGAAGGACACCTTGCTTTCAGAGGAGCAGCTCAAGTTCTTGCAAACAAGCCAAACTCGGCAACAGGCCTGGATCACTTGCATCATTTGCAGCGATGCTTTGGGGAGTGCTTTCTTCTTCAATAACACTATGGGGTTCTTGTGCTGGGAGTAAAGAGAATTGATTGGCGAGCCGCCCGGCACACCTGGAAAAGCGGCTCGCCGTGTCCCAAATGCTGCCAATCGGCTCCCTGCATCTTTGTAACACAGCATGTTCGTGGATGCTGCTGCTGCAACTGTGGGACTCCTTGTATACGAGGTTTGCACCGATCCACTCCCTCGAGGGAGCCACTCCCTCCCTTCATTGCGCGTAGTGACCCAAACCCACCCAATGAAGGGAACCACTCTTCTTTGACCGCAACGAAGGGAGCCAGTGCCTCCACATCACGCAATGAAGGGAGCCACTCCCTCCCTTGATTGCCCGTTTTACCCCAAAGCAGTGGAGACCTTGAAGCCGTGCCTGCGTGAGCGAGTGTGCGTGTCGAAAGCCACGCATTGCAGGGAGCCACTGCCTCCCTTTCTCAAGGAAGGGTGCCACTCCCTCCCATTCATTGCTCGTTTTGCCACGATATGGGACATGTTTGGTCTCGAAACGTTGAGTCTACTTCGGGGTTGAATGTACCTCGGGGAAGCAATTTAAGGCGTTCCTTGGGTCTCGCAAGCTAAAGACAAAAAAGCGTAGGTCCTCTTGGGGGTATTTTGGCACTGGGCACTGGTCTCCCCCGCTGCGCCTCCTGGGATCTCTTGGCGGTCTCCTGGCCGTGTCCTCGTCGCTGCACGTTTGGGGATCCCGTGGTGATGGTATCTCTGCGACGCACCTCAGACACGCCTAACTCGGACAGGTCCTGCGCCAGCATCATGAAACTATGGCTGCGCAGATCCAGCGCCTAGAGCTGTTGCAGAAGAGCCAACACAAGCTCTTGTCGGCCAGGGCCAACCAGGACCCACTAATGCGCCTGGTGCCTTGCGGCCTGGCTAAAGTCTAGAGCCGCCTCTAAGTGTTCTTTTGGAAGGACCTGGATGGCTTGCTGCAGATCGCAAGCTTGGGTCCAGGCCAAGGCCCAGTCGCTGTCGAGTCAAGCCCTCGCCAAGTTTGCCCCTTGCAGGTTCTCAGCCACCGCTCGCAGACCCCAAGCTTCTGCAGATCAGGAAGGCAACAGATCACCGGAGAGCGGCGTTCAGAGATTTGCGTTTTGTGGGAATTTGCGAGGTGGAAGACGATGTGGGCTACTATCTCACGAGCATAGAACAGTTGGCAACGCGGCTGTGCCTTGACGCGAAACCGGCAGGAACTGCCTTTAGAAAGGTTCTGCGCCCACTGCGTGACAAGTCCGGGGTTCTGGGACGTGTTGTTGTGGCTTCTGCATTGTGCGACACAGTGTGCCAGACTGAACAGTCTTACATGAACGGTCAGACGAAAACCTGCAACAAGTCAGAAGCGATCGTGGTGTTGGTCACGGTAGTATCGAGCATGCTCATGGTGAAGAAGCACCGCTGATACTGATGGTGAGGCGGACGATGATGATGACGATGATGTGGTGCTGGTGATGGTGATGGCGATGCTGCTGATGCTGATGGTTGCCGTGGGGTGGTGCTGGCGCTGAATGCAGGTGCTGCCCCTTCTTCTGGGCTATGATGATGATGTCAGCAGTCGTAGGAGTCAGCCAGCACCGTCGAACCAATGATGGACAAATCATAGCCCCGTCAGGCAGCAGCAGCAGCAACAAGAACAACAAAAAGAAGGTACGACACGGCAGGTTGCAACCACATAACCCCGGAAGATAAAGCTCATGATGACGCATTCAAGCATAAAGTAGTTAACACCACTTCACTCAGAATCCTCTCGATCTGGCTCAGGCCAGCTTCTTCGAAAGAGGAGCTGCAGCGATTGGCCTACCAGCTAAGAGCGGAGTCTTCGCTGAGATTATTGTATAGTTTCGTGCTTAGGGTTTGCTGTGTGTGCATAGATTGGCTCAGCATCGGTTGGCCTTTGTTGTGGACAGCACCGGCTTAGGAAACCAACAAGCTGCTCCTGGAGATGGGTCTCAAATGTCACGAGCTGGGCAGTGCGGACAGCGCCTTGCTGGAGGGAGAATTCAGATTTCTGTAGACCCCAATCAGAAAGGGTACTGACGATGGGACCTTGCTTGAACATCCTCGACATGGGCAGGCATGCTGCAGCATCAATGGCTGCAGCTCCAGCGAGACTTGGGCAGCACAGAATTAAAACTTAGCTGCGAGAGTGCTGCGCTTGACAGGGCCTAGCCGAACAGCACCGACAGTGATCTACCGAGGGAGTCTCCCGAAGAGACGAAGAAGCTTGAGCAAAGAGCTACACAGACAGAGAGAGACAGAGAGATCCAAACCCTTAAAGCGAGTTGCGAGAGCGTAAAGCCCCATAACATATGGGGGGGCCATGTGCCCGGGGGGTTTCGAAGCCCCTCATGCCCTGCAGAAGAAGAAGAAAATCCAAACTCGGACACGGGCGCAGCGTTCGCGCGCAGGGGGTGCAGGGACCTGCAAGCAAGCAACAGAGATCGCAAGCTGATTGAGTGGGCGATGGACGGGGACTCCACAAACAGAAGCCGCAAGCCTTTGCGCCTTAGGCTTTGGCCCCGAGAAGCTGAGGTCTTTTGCCCCAACTGAGCCTGGGAACCGATCCTTTCCGGGCATCCCTCGCCTTGTGGCCACCTACACAGACTCCAGGCCTGGACGCCAGGGCCGTCGCAGGACTCGGATTCCTTTAAGACGCTTCCTTTCGAGGAGTCCGGCCAGGACATCTCGGATTCAAGAAGGGTTTCTTTGGCGTTGCTGCTAGCTTTCCCATTGCGACAGATCCACCACCGCCCCGACCACTACACGACATCGCTTGCTACGGCTGCATATCTTGCTTTCAACAGACACAGATACAGTAGAACTGCAGTCGCTGTCGAGGTAGAAGAATGTCCTTAGAGCACTAGATCCTCAAAAAGAGCGCTTTTCCTCCACATCCGCTGTTGTTCTGTGCTGTGGCCAGCATGTGCCTATTGAGATCTAACGAGCATTTTGAACACCCCAACCCGTTGTCGATGCGGAGTTTTCACGAAGCACCAAAAGCCTGCCGCTGGCCTTCAAGCCCACAGGCCCTGACACGCAAAACTAATGGGGAATCAAGAGCAGCAACTTCTAGTTGCGAGAGCTGAAAACTAGAAGTCCTGTGCCCAAGACCCCTCAGCCCCAAGAGACGTGCAGGCTGGTGGCAAAAAAGAGACGTGTTCGGACGCCGTACGCTTTACCCAAAACCCTGCAAATGCGATTCGAGAGGAAACTATCGAATCTAGGCCCTTCGGCCTAGCCGTCGCCATGCCAACGTCCACTCTGCCACTCAACATGCCAAACACAAACATACACAGCCACAGGCAGGAGTAGTAGTAGTAGTAGTAGTAGTAGTAGTAGTAGTAGTAGTAGTAGTAGTAGTGGCAGAAGCAGTTGCAGCAGTAGCAGTGGTAGTAGTTGTTGTAATCGTCGTGGTGGCGGTCGTAGTTGCAGCAGCAATAGCAACTGCCTGAAGGTGCGGCTGCGACAGCTTATGGGAGCACTTTCTGATGAAGTGCTGGCTACCGCTCGTGCAGGTTTCCTCACAACCAACTCTGCGTCTGCAATAGAGTCGCGTCGTGTCGTCTCTGATGCAAACTTGGCTTGTCGCAGTGCTGGTTGATTTCTACGACCTTTCGAGTTCTTTGGGCACTTCTCCAATTGGAGAGAGCTTTGAATAAGCCCGTCCAAACTTTTTAGAGTGAGCGCGTACAGCGCGTTAAGAGAGCAGAGTCAGGTAGCTGACAATGCATCTCTTGAGGTGAGGGGCTGCGAATGCAACATCATTGCAATCTGATTTGTGAATGTTATGTTCATCTTAATCTTCGTCCACGGCCTAAAGCTGCAGTGGTTCCTTGCGTTCGGAAGACCCATCGGGAACTGTTCCAGCGCCTCTCCATGGCAGAGAAGATCGAGCCTCGACAGAGCGAAGTTGGAGAAGAAAAGGGGTGTACTGTAGGGCTTGAAAAAGGTTGTCCATCCCTTCAGCGTGGCTGCCACCAGTCTGCTCTATGACAGGCGGATCGGGGAAAATCTCGCTCACGTGGATTTTCATGCATCTTGGCAACGATTGAGTCCCAAGCCTAACCTAACTCATTGGCTAGAGCCGTAACGCTGCAGCCACCTTCTGTTCCTTGCGAATGGTCCCGAAGCCAAGGCCCGAGTGACAGGAGAAGAGGCACGTAGCTTGATCTGCATCTCTGGAATTCGAAACTGTGGCAGAGTGCTCTGCAAGGATGCGTTCACTCGGGAACTCGATAGCATCTACGATGAGGTTTCATCCAAGATCGAAGGCCACTCTGGAGCTTCTTCGCTGCGTCTTGTTTCTCCACGCCCTGCTGCGAGGTTTCGGCTTCTTTGAAGCTGACGTTTCAACTCCACCACCCCGAGTGCCCCGTGACCGCAGCAAGTGTCCCCTTTTTTGTGCCTTCTCGTGCACTGGTGCACTGCAGGCTGCAAAGACAACGAGGGGTCGTGCGCACCAACTGCTTCGATTCCCTGGATCGAACCAACCTCCTTCAGTACCAGGTGCGATGCAGATGCAAACATGCATATGGCATGGAAGAGAACAAGAGAAGAAACTGCGCTCTGCTCCCTCCATCAAGCAGGTGGCTTGGCGCTGGCTGCAAGCTCAACTGCCCACCTTCCAATCTCCTGTCTCTTCAGGCAAGTACCTGCAAGTAATGCGTTGACAGTGTGAAAGTGCTTGCGCCGAAGCATTGTCGTGGTCTTGTCACCCAGAACCGATTCTATCACTGCTGAGCTACAGCACTGTGCAGGCTACCGCGGCGCCGCGGCCGAGACGGGCCATCTGCAAGCGACCCTCAGGAAACCGAGTCGGATGGGTGCAGAGAGGATGAAATCAGAGAGGCAATTCGTCGCGATACTGTGCAGGAGCATGTGGGCCGACTTGGGCGACGCACTTTCGGAGCAGCTGCTTGGAAGAAGCCTTGCTTTCCACAGACGCACATTGCATGTCCGCATGCTCCCGTAATGACACGAATTACGTTGCTTTTGTTAGGTACACGGGAACTGCGAGTACCATGGGTGCTGCCCTGCGACAAGGTCTGTCTCTGCACGCAGAGCACGCAGAGCGAGAGCGGATGTTGCGTGTCGTGTGACAGGCGGCCACACGGCCAGAGCCATGCTGGAGAAGGGCTGGAGGGCAGTGAACCGCGTGCTGCCCTGAAGAATGTCCGAATCGCTTGAAGTCTGAGCTCTGAAGTCGTCGGGGCTTAAGGAGTCTGTTCTCTCTTCAGGCCTACTGCGCTCACTTCGAAGACGATGCGCGGCAGTCGGCCATACAGCTGCTCTTGCGCAGCCAGAAGCTGGCAAAGGCAACTCCACGTACATCAGTTGGACCCAAATACAGGACCCAAACGGGAAGATCCTGTAGCTTATGATAAGGAGCCCAAACAAGGAAACCCACCTGTTGCAAGAGCCGCCTTTCGGCTTGTGCCCCGCAACTGCGTGGACCCAAACATATGCCGTGTCTTGTCTGAGAGGCTCCTTCCATCCCGGAGCTCCGTCGAAGTCCTCAGGGCAAGCTGCGTTTAGCCTTGGCTTCCTGGAACCTCCATGGCCGCGCACCCTGGCAGTCGACGGAGACCTTGCGAAGTCGCTAGGAAGCAGCTTTGAGACTAGCGCATGCGCGCTCGGATCATGTATATGCATACATGCGTGCATACATGCATGCGTACCTGCATACTTCATACTTACTTACATGCTTGTTTACTTGTTTACACACACATGTGGACATGTGAGTATCTATATCTATATCTATATCTATCTATCTATCTATCTATCTATATATATATATATATATATATATATTTGTGCGTGTGTGTGTGTGTGTTTGTATATTCATGCATGCTTCCCCCAAGATCTAACCTCCGTTGGGGGGGGGACACGCATACTGCATACTGCATTTGACTCTGACAACTGCACAGAATCCTGCAGCCCAACACTGCTCGAAACATTGCACTTCTCCATGTTGCTCGACTATCGTCTACCGACAGTCACTGGTCAATCCCAAATTCCGAACATGTTCATAGAAAGCATGCGCCGGCTGCTCAAGTCCTCGAGAGCAATCTCGGAGGCTTGTGTGGGCAGAACCCTTTTACTTTCAGTCGAAACATGTTCATGGAATCTTAGTGTTCGTAACTTTTTTTGTGTCGTTCGATAGAATCCAAAATGTCCGTAGGCTTTTGATTTTGCTTATGTCCACTTCCAGAAGCCTTAAATCGCGTTGATTTCTTGAGTCGCTTGCGAAAATGAAACTCAGTGACCAGAGAAACCAGCAAAATCCAACAACATCCTAATGTAAACGAGTGGTTTTGCAGAGAAAACAAAACAAACATGGGAATGGAAAACTGCTTAAGCAGAAACTGCGAATCCAAAGGACTGTTGCATACCGACAAATACGGAGATGGGTCATGGCGGGGGGTGGGAACTGTACATGTACTTAGTACATGTGTATATTATATATATATATATATATATAATTATATATATATATATATATATGCACACACACACACACGAGAGAGAGAGAGAGAGCATCTGCACCCGCCTCACACCCCAAGCAAAGCAAAGAGAGATGCTCTCACTGATGTCTTGGAGAACATACGCACGTCTTCCGACGCTATCGTATACTATATGGCTAAGGCTCTATGACGTGCTATGTTCGATTCTCACTCCCCTTGCCCCATCAAAGAATTGGGGTGGGCTTTGAAGCCCGGGGGCTGTGACAAGTCCCCAAGCCCAGGAGATAGATAGATGCTCTCACACTCACACACACACATGTGCACGTGCGCGGAACATGTTCAGCCGTTTGCTGCAGGCTTGGTGCGAGGAGCTTGCGAGGTCCAGGGCGACGGCGCCCGGGAAAGCCCGGACATCTTCGTGTTCTGCTTCCAAGAATTTTCCGCCTCTCCTCTGAATCAAGCACACACCTCCCTCCTCCACGGTGCCATATGACGACTCCACTGCCTCCTCATATACGTCTCTAAAATCCCAAGCCAACTGAGCCGGCGCAGCATGTCCGCATGTCAGCACCGAAAACCGGAGAGGGAGGCTCCCTGTAGTTGCTTGCACACGTTTGCCAGTTGAAACAAGGCGGCAGTGACATCTCCTGTGCCTTCTCTTGCCCAGCTGCAAGTGGCCCTAGAAATCCTAGACACCATCCTGATACAAGTCCCTATCCTATCCTATCAAAAGAGTCCAACAAAAACTCCTGATAGAAAGCCTTATCCTTTCAGAAGACTCCAAAAAAAGGAGCTCTCCGCCACCAACGTGGTGCTCCTCAGCTCCGGGGATGAGCCCCAGCAGGTGGCAGAGAAGATCCGAACTTCAGTCCTTTTTGGTACGGCTGTACATCGTAATGTATATTTTTTTTACACCGATGTAAAAAAGACATGCATTACAATGTACAGCATTCCAGTCCTAGAAGATCTATACCCGGGATTCGAAATGCTGCAACAAGTAGCTTATGATAGCATCAAGATCCAGGGAACCCCTACGTGAGCCTTCATCAAGACCCCAAACTTTCCGCTTCTAACTCAAAAGAAAGCTCCTCGGAGCTGGGGCGGGGGGGGCGTTCCTAACTTATTTCGGCTCAGGAAGAGGGGGGGGTCTGCAGGCGCGCTTCGCCTCGGCCGCCGCGGGTGCCCTGAAAGCCGAGCTCGGGGAGAGCTTCTGGGAGCTGCGGAGCTGCGGACTCCGGGCCCTTCCCTTTCCTTTTCGTTTCAAGTTTCGAAGTTTCAGGCCAGGGGGGTATGGCTGGTATGGTTTGGAGTTTGGGCAGGGTTAGAATCAGAAGGCTTCTTAGCTGAAGGCTTGGGCTTTTTGTCGCTTCAAGAGAGGAGCGAGAAGCAAAGGCTACAGAGGTGTTATACAGAAATCGCATCTCTGGAAGCCCGGCTCCATCAGTGTCCGACATGGAAACTTGGAGTTAGCAAGCGCATGATCCAGAGCTCCCGGGCAGAAACAGCAGGAGCCGACGGAGTAGTGTAGCTGTCCTCTACGCTTTAAGGAATGGTGGGCCTTTTCGTTGGCGTCTTCGTGGCGGAGCGCTTGGCCGGCTCCGTGAAATCTGTTTCGGCGGAAAGAGTTCGCTCCGGGCTTTATGGGCAAGCTGGCAACAAGGCGGCGTGAGATGCTCCGAAGCAACATTCTCTTGATTCTTCTAAAGAAGTAGTATAGGCTCATTCTCTCCTTCTAACTTCTCTTATGCCTTCTTTTCTAAGTAGTATAGGGCCCATTCTCTCCTTCTATTTCTGGTGATTCTTGCCACAGGCAAATAATTTGCAACTGTAGTTATGCCACAGAGCCGTTCTGATGCTAGTCCGCGTGCGGACCACCCCGTATTCCGTATTGTTTAGACTCGGAGTCGAAGAGGTCTTCTGGGTTTCTTGGGTCAGAGATCCCCTGCTCCGGTAGGGCGCCGTGGCCGTGAGCTTCAAGATTGAGGAGCCTCTCGGCTTCAAGGAGGCATGAGCTAAGCAAAAACCGGAGACGATGCCCCGACAATCAGGCCTCTCAGAAAGCACATCTCGAAGTCATAGATCCCATAGTTTCGCCGAGTACAAGGGGCTGCTAGCTTAAAAGGCTTTCATGATGCAAACACGCACGGATCATTCTTGCATGTGTTCAAGCTTCAAGGACCTCGATCTGCGCCATGAGCTTGCACTTGGAGAGTGGTCAGAACGGCAAGAAGGCTCAGGACACACACTTCTGGCTGTTGGGTGCCTTTGTGGTGGGGTGTTTTCTGCCGAGAGCGCCGAGGAGCGGCTCGAACAGCTTCGGGAGATCCTCCAAGGCTCAGGGCTGAAGCAGAGCCCGGAAACGGCGTGAGCTCACGCCGAGCTCTTCTGAGATCTTCGGAGACTTGGGGGCGGTTGCTCTCCGAGGCGTAAAGCGACCGAATGAGGAGAAGGCGAAGTACGACGTGATGGTTCTAGGCCCGGGGCCCGGGGGGGCCCGGGGCCCGGGGCCCGGCCCGGCCCACGGGGTGTCGTGGGGTGCATTTCTGGGGGGCTTTGGCTGAGCGGCTGAGGTGGTGACTTCAACTTTCGAGCTGCCTTTCCAGAAGCGATGGGGCAGATCCCCAAGGTCTTGTTCGAAGGCTTCTCACGATCTTGTTATTTGGGTGGGACAAGTTGTCCGAACTGCAGCCGCCCAGATTGCGGGAGGATGGGGGAAGCCTGCCGGCGTGGCGAGCTCCGAAGGGCGAGTCGGGGAAGGATCTTACCAGACCAGCGAGGAGGTGATGCGCCTCTTCCGCGAGTGTCGCCCGGAATGCACCTGGAGAGTCCCTTGGCTGCGGGCTGCTCTGAAGCCAAGCTCAGATGACGAAGTGACGGCAGGGAGGAGCAGGAAGTGCAGAGAGATGTGCAGCGATGTGCAGTGCTGTGTGGGCGTTTTTTCTTTGCTCTTTGCCTCCTCTCCTCAGAGGCAGGAGCTCCAGGAGATTCTGAAGGCCGGGCCGCCGGGCCGGGCTGGTCCTCCCTCAGAGTCTCAGTCTTTTTCTGGGCAAATTGGGGAGGAGTTCAGCTTGGTGGAGGGCCCCGTGCGCTTCCCTCCCACCTACCGGCTGCTGGAAGGACCCCGCCGGGGGTTGGCACGGAAACCCGCTCCGAGAAGACAGAGCTACCATTGCATCGAGTCAGGACAAAGTTCCTATGACCTCGAGCGTCAGCCTGCCTGGTGTGACCGTGTGCTGCACTCCAGGGTCAGCGTGGTCAGAAAGAGCCGCTCTGTGGCCATGAGACTAAGAAGTGGAGAAATCAGAAAACTCTCAAGACTGACATGACAGAGAGAGAGAGAGAGAGGGGGGGCCTGCTGAAGGCTATTGTGCACTGGGCCACTTGAACCACACAGACCACCGCCCGGTTTGCGCAACACGGCTGAATTCGCAAAAATGGGCTGATCCATTAGCCGCCTCGAACTGAGAGCCGAGGTAATGCTTGAGTTGCTCTTACTGGCTCTACCGCGACCAGCTGCGAGCCCCACACGGACCCCGCCAAGCACGAGCCCGTCACCAGTGGATCTGCGCGAGGCCCCTGCGGCCTCACCGCAGGCCAAGAGAGAAAGAAGACCTTCTCTGCTTCTCTGACTCGCTGCCCCTTCAGGCCGGGGCTGGGCCGTTCGGCCTGGGGCCAGTGAGCCCTGCGACTACATCGGAGCCTTCCCTCACGCCGGCCACGGTTGGGACTGCACCGACCCTGCCACAGGCAGAAGGGCCCAGTAATTAGAGAATCGTCCGTGCTCATAGAAGACATGAATGTGGAGCTTGCAGTCGTGCACAAGGACTTGTTGGACTTCGAAGACCCGCCACATGTACCTTCCTCACCGAAGACACCGATGCAAACTCCGCAAACCCTGCAGACAGGAGACGCCTTTACAGTCTAGGGTTGCCTTAGGTTACCACGATACCACTTCCAGAAGAACTTGCTAGGACAGCTGGTCTTGGCAAAGTTCCAGACTGGCTGGTACTTAGCGAATGTTCTGCGCGGCTCAGCTGAAAGATGTTGAGCATCTCGTGGGCATCCTAAGTTAAGTTGTAATTCAGACCAAGGATACGATGGCATCACTGCCGACGTCGCCTGGTTGAGACCTCCAGGGACCGTTTGGGGCAACAAGGAGCGCACATGAGAGCACGCTGTGCTTAAGACGATTGCCTCGCATGAGCTGCGGAGCTCTTCTTCTGCAGGAAGAGATGCAACGTTACCTTTGCTCAACTGGAGCAGACGAAACGCTGCACGGAGAGAAGCTGCATATCACAACACACGTCAGGCCCTGCCTTTTTTGCGGTAAGCGTGACAAGAGAGCTGAGCCGAGATTTTATTTGGGAGGCTGCCGGAGTTGCCCCAGAAAAGTGCCAGCGCGGTCCAAGCGCAGCCGGCACCGCATCCTTCGAGCTCGCCCTTGACGAACTCGAGCTCCGTCTCAGTAGATTTGCTGGGTTGACCTTTGTCAGCTCTCCAGAGACCGCAGCCGGGCGTAGCTTCGCAGCGGCCGACGAAGAAAAGGGACTCACGTCAAAGCATCCTTCTGTCCTTCCGACCGTGACCCCATTTATGTCTCGCAGGATGTGAAGATCCGTGATCTGAAGTCCACAGCTGCACAAAAGATCTTCCAGGCCTCGCGCCTACCAGGCCTACCATGGTGCTAGCCATCATCTTCCTATCGGGACACAGCCAGGACAAGCTGGCCGCCCCACTGATTGAAGCAATTGGTGAATATTTCGAGCGCCGAGACTGCACAAGACCCTCACTGATGCACCGAGACAGCTTGCCATGTGCCTGTAGCACCTGCCAGGCTCCCGCCGAAGAGCGTGGTGGTGGATGATGCGTTCATCGTCAGGTATGCGACAGACTCTCAAAGGGGGCTCTCCTTTCATCGGGACGGCCGGAGCCCCGAATGAGCCCATGAGCCTGGAGAAACCTCGTCCTATCTTCCCGAGGTTCCATTGTGAGTTCGATTGTGACCCTGTCTGACGAGAGCCACGGCCACACGATGTTTTACTCCGACGCGTTGTTGTTGCGGTTTCTCGACGACTCCGGTCTTCTGATTTTTCGAGCCCAGGAACGATTACGTCGGAGGTGGCACCGAGTTCTTGGACGGCAGCGTGTATCGGCCATCCCAAGGCACCCCGACCTATACTGCGCCGGGCGGCATGAGCCGATCACGAGGGCTTTTTTCCTGAGGTGGCGGAATCCTTTTCGGAGGCCAGCGACTCCACGGCGGTGTGGAGATCGAACGCGGGGCTCGCCGTTGGTCTGCATTTGGGATCAGCATAGGCATAGGATGCTCTAGGCATAGCGAGGCTCACAACAGCTTCTCTCCGTTTTATTGCCAAGGTTATATCTGCACCATCTTCTTCAAGCAGGGAACTCAGAGCCACAAAAACCCAGGGGCCCAGAGCTCTCAGCCGCCTCCAGGTGTGGCGGCCTCAGCTGCCGAGCGGCTCGGCCTGAAAATGATTTGCCTTTGGCTTTTTCCCTTTTTCTGTCTCTTTTAGGACCTGGCGGTCAAGAAAGACAAGGAGGAGGAGAAAAATCACAGAGAGACATAGGGAGCATGCTCGCCAGAGCTCCGAGCTGCAGCCTGCTGCCAGCCTGTCGTCTCAGGAGGGAGATCCAGGCATCTGGGGTGCCCTTGCCAACATCATGGGCGTGGGCCAGTGAGCTGCCGCGCCGGCTCGTGCCCGAAACGTCAACGGAGATATTTTCACGTAGCCACCAGAGCCGGGCCGTTTGCCTTTCATGCAGTCGCCAGCAGGCAGAGCTCGCACAAGACGTCGCGATTGAAATGTAGGATCTGACCAAGGCAGATGTTGCTCCATGTGTTCCCTAAATTTTTCAGCAGCTGCTTGGAAAAGCTTGGACTGGAGCTCGAAACTCATATACCCACCTCATGCGGCTGGCAAAAGAGAAGAGATTGAAGGTTGCTGTGCCAGCGCAGCAGAGTTCCAATTTCGCCAGTTGTCTTCCACATAGAGGCTCCAGGGGCGCTGGGCGCTCGTAGTGTCGCCCTCAAGGGGCCGGGCTAGAAGCTGCCCCGCATGCCAGGGATTTCATCATGGACTTTCTGGAGGCACCGCAGGTTGAAGGAGATGAATGAACTGGGTTGTCGTGTGTACTCATGGTCCCTGAGGTGGAGAAAGCTGAGGACAAGAGAAGCCAGGGCGTCTCGCCAGCAAATAGAGACGGGTCAGCGAGCAGGAGCCGCCCCCTTGCATTCCCCCAACCGTCCAAAAGCAAGACTCCGCCCAGACAGCGACCGAAAGGAAAGACTGAGCAGAGTCCTCCCACGGCAAGCACATTTCTTGGTGCAAGCGATGCATCAGCACAGAAACAGCCAGTGCCAGAATTGGCTGCAGGTTCAGCACCACCTTCGCCACGCTCCGCCTTCCTAGATTTCACTGGTCCTAGCACATCCACACAGCGAGCGGACCAAGAGCATTTGCCAAGGGAGGCGGCGACTGCACGAGGGCCGCGAGGGGACGGCAGTGGTCTCAAGCTTCCCAAGCCATCCAAAAGCAAGACCCCACCAAAGGAGCGGCGCAGCAGCAATGACCAGCAGAGTACTCCGACAGGCAATTTCTTTGGAGGAGTTCCTGCTGAAACCAGCTCTTTGACAGAAAAACAAGCAGCACCAGAATCGGGTGCAGGTTCAGCACCGCTTTCGCCAATCGCGGACCAAGAGCATTCTCCAAGGGACGGCAGTGGCTTCAAGCTTCCCAAGCCATCCAGAAGCAACACTCCGCCAAAGGAGCGGCACAGCAGCCATGACCAGCAGAGTGATCCGACGGGCAGTTTCTTTGGAGGAGTTCCTGCTGCAACCAGCTCTTCGGCAGAAAAGCAAGCAGCACCAGAATCGGCTGCAGGTTTAGCACCGCTTTCGCCAATCGCGGACCAAGAGCATTCTCCAAGGGACGGCAGTGGCTTCAAGCTTCCCAAGCCATCCAGAAGCAACACTCCGCCAAAGGAGCGGCACAGCAGCCATGACCAGCAGAGTGATCCGACGGGCAGTTTCTTTGGAGGAGTTCCTGCTGCAACCAGCTCTTCGGCAGAAAAGCAAGCAGCACCAGAATCGGCTGCAGGTTTAGCACCGCCTTCGCCAATCGCGGACCAAGAGCATTCTCCAAGGGACGGCAGTGGCTTTAAGTTCCCCCCATCCAGAAGCAACACTCCGCCAAAGGAGCGGCGCAGCAGTCATGACCAGCAGAGTGATCCGATGGGCAGTTTCTTTGGAGGAGTTCCTGCTGCAACCAGCTCTTCGGCAGAAAAGCAAGCAGCACCAGAATCGGCTGCAGGTTTAGCACCGCCTTTCGCCAATCGCGGACCAAGAGCATTCTCCAAGGGAGGGCAGTGGCTTTAAGCTTCCCAAGCCATCCAGAAGCAACACTCCGCCAAAGGAGCGGCGCAGCAGTCATGACCAGCAGAGTGATCCGACGGGCAGTTTCTTTGGAGGAGTTCCTGCTGCAACCAGCTCTTCGGCAGAAAAGCAAGCAGCACCAGAATCGGCTGCAGGTTTAGCACCGCCTTCGCCAATCGCGGACCAAGAGCATTCTCCAAGGGACGGCAGTGGCTTTAAGCTTCCCAAGCCATCCAGAAGCAACACTCCGCCAAAGGAGCGGCGCAGCAGTCATGACCAGCAGAGTGATCCGATGGGCAGTTTCTTTGGAGGAGTTCCTGCTGCAACCAGCTCTTCGGCAGAAAAGCAAGCAGCACCAGAATCGGCTGCAGGTTTAGCACCGCCTTTCGCCAATCGCGGACCAAGAGCATTCTCCAAGGGACGGCAGTGGCTTTAAGCTTCCCAAGCCATCCAGAAGCAACACTCCGCCAAAGGAGCGGCGCAGCAGTCATGACCAGCAGAGTGATCCGACAGGCAGTTTCTTTGGAGGAGTTCCTGCTGCAACCAGCTCTTCGGCAGAAAAGCAAGCAGCACCAGAATCGGCTGCAGGTTTAGCACCGCCTTCGCCAATCGCGGACCAAGAGCATTCTCCAAGGGAGGGCAGTGGCTTTAAGCTTCCCAAGCCATCCAGAAGCAACACTCCGCCAAAGGAGCGGCGCAGCAGTCATGACCAGCAGAGTGATCCGATGGGCAGTTTCTTTGGAGGAGTTCCTGCTGCAACCAGCTCTTCGGCAGAAAGGCAAGCAGCACCAGAATCGGCTGCAGGTTCAGCACCGCCTTCGCTAAACACTGTGCCATCAAGAACAGATGAGCAGCATAAGCTTACAAGCCCCGCAGCTCAGTCTGCAAAGGAGCAGCTTGCGCAGGCTGCAGAAACAACGGCTGCAGACCCAGCGCCACCTTCGCCACGCTCTGACAAGCAAGCCGTCCAGGATTTCACAGTGAACAGCGCAGTCACACCACCAGATGAAGAGCAGGAAGTTCCAAGTCCTGCTGCAGAAACCACGGCCACAGGCAAAACGCCACTCACGCAAGTTTCCAACGGGCAGACAGATGGAGATGGATTAGGCCGCAACAGCCAGTTTCATCCCCAGGCGAGGGTGCCAGACTTGCCAGATGCGAGCTCACTGCTGGGAGTGGAGACTCAGACGGAAGGAAGGCCCCCTCCCCCTCTCCCCCCTCCCTCACAGCCTGGCGGCACGATACTCGTAGCTCAGGGGACTCCCTTGGAAGTGCCCAGAAGTGATCAGCACCAAGAGGCTACTCGTAGCGATCCCTTGACAGCTTTGGCAGAGTCCCGGCTAGCTCGAAACGATGCGGGAGATCAGGCTTTGTCTTTGGAGGCTTCCACCCAGCTGCGAAGGCGGCTCGAGAATTGCATGCCAAAAAGTGCTGCTTGTAGCCCCGGACCTGTCGGCCTTGGAACTTGGCTACTATAGACTATCACAGCCCCTGTCTGTCCCCCAACTAGCTCTGGCTTTTGCAGTCGGCAGGTCGGACAGCCAGCGGCCAGCCGCAGTTCCGGCGCCTGGCGAAGGACTCGAGCAGGCAGAAGCGTTGAAGCTTAGTTTTTCGTTCGTAGTGAGTCGTAGTGTGTGGAGGGAGATTTAAATGGAATTGATAACCCACGTTGGGCCCTGCTCTCCACCTGAAGACTTGGAGTGCTCTGGTAGTTGCTGTTCCAGCCTTCGCCCAAGCTGCCCAAAACGCGGCTCCCCAGCACTGTCACAGGTCGTCTCGGAGCCTCAGTTTTCGGAGTCCTCGGAGCCCCTGCGCTCGGAGGCTCCGGCGCTCACGGTGGAGTCCGTAAGCCTTGCTTACACCCGGCTCCATGCGCGGAAGGCCTCGCCAAAGAAGCGAGTCAAAGAGCGTGACTTTGCGAAAGCTGCTCAGAAGCCGCCGGGGCCAGGTCCCTCTCCCTTGGCGCGCGAGATTTCCATGGCAGCGGCAGCGAGTCGCATCCAAGCCATGTACCGTCGGCGACGAGAGCGGCGAGAGCGCCTGCATGCTGCGTCGACGCCTGCGAAGCTCAAACACATGGAGCGATTGCACGCGGCGCTCCGCATCCAGGCAGCATTCCGAGGACGGCGAGAGCGGCGGGCCTTGAAGGTCGTGAGAGACACGAGAGCAGCTGGCATGCGAATCGCGGCAACCGCGCGCCTCCGTGTGAAAGTCCACAAGCTACACCCGGTACATGACAGCTCCTCGGCCTCGCCATCACCGCCAAGCCGCGACCAAGCCCAGTCCTTCCTACCAGCAGCAGACGAAGGCGAGGCACCAAGCTCCCAGGAACCTGCGGCCGTGGATCAGATTCGAGGTGCATGCCGTGCTTGGCTGGCACGTAGAACCCTTGTCTCGCTGCAGCAAAAGAGGGTGCAAGCTTCTGTCATCAAGATCCAAGCACTGGCGAGAATGCGACTCGCCCAGAATCTGCGAAAAGAGAAGGCCAAGCTACACGTCTCCTCGATTGCGAGCCTTCGCATGAGGGCGGTCCGTATCCACAAGCTGCACGAAGCCACCGGTACCGGCGGTACCGGTAGCTCTCGCAGCCGCTCCGCAAGTCCCAAAGGCTTCTTCGACTCGCCTACTGAGGTTGTGGAAGTTGAAGAAAGAGATCTGTCGAAGCCCCAGCTGCCGGCATTTTCGGCGGCAGCAGAGGCCGAGGCCGAAAGGCATCGAGCAGCTGTGCGGATCCAGGCCTTACAGCGAGGCCGGCTGGCACGCAGGGAGCAAGCCGCCAAGAGAAGGACCGGGATGGACATCGCCTCGATCGGCGCGCTGCGGGTGAAAGTCTACAAGCTCCACCAGGGTCGGTCAGAGTCATCGCCCGCAAGCAAGAAAGCAGAGGAAAGCAGCGCCAGCTTTTTTGACACAGCCGCAACCGGCGCCACTCCATCGAGGTTGAGCTCGGTGACTGCGGAGCGGCAGCGGGAGGATGCAGCTGTGAGGATCCAAGCTTGCTACCGAGGCCGCCAGGGACGTCGGCTTGCGGAGCAAAAGGCAGTCACTGCAGTTGCCAACGCGGCACCAACCGCTTTGGAAAGCGTTCGTCGGTCTTTGGTGACTGCAGGCTTCGCAGTGGTCGGGGAGGCGAATGCCGAAATTGGGCGTTTGCTGCACCGTGCTAGCCTTGGCTTAGAGGAGGCCGCTGCTATGGGTGATCGGGCTGCGCAAAGGGCATCCATCGCTTTGGGGGAGACCCTGCTGCACATGGTGGTGGATGCCAGCACGCCTCCCATTTCGCCTGTGCCCGGATCAAACGTCGGGTCAAATCTGGGCTCAGATGCAGATGCTGCAGGCTCAGACGAATCCGAAGCTTCGCCAATCTCCCCGAGAAAGGAAGTCTTGGAGCTTTCCAAGTCCATGGAAAAGTCCTGTGTGCGCGTCGAGGCTTGGCTGGAGAAGCGAAGGCACTCGGGGAACCGGGCGAAGACGCCAGCGCTCAGGATGGGCATCTCACCTTTGGTGCAGAGGAGGCGAGAGCTCCGAGAGCTCTCAGAGGTGCAGACGCTCAAGAGGAAGAGCATGAGCAGAGATATCGAGAGCAGGCGAGAAAGCGCAGACGGTGACGATGAAGTCGAGAAGCTACGGGCTGACTTACACAACACAAGCATCAGGAAGCTTGCTGAGGAGCAAGATAAGAAGCTGGAGCTACTTCAGCTGGCCCCATCCTTTGTTCCAGGCAAGCAGTGCTCCAAATGTGGGCAGCAGGTTGGCTTCGATTTCACCTCAGCGAGCTCAGAGCTTGAGTTCAGCATTTGGGGCGTTTGCTCCTCCTGCCAAGCAGAGCTCTTCGGCAGAGGGCCAGGGCTGCCAGAAGCCGAGCGAGACTATGTCTTGGTCGGTGAAGGCTCTGGGCATTTCGAAGCTTTGTCGCCATTTCATCCCATGCCAGTTGCCTACCCGGGGCCCGAAGCTGTTTGGGCTTCGCCCTACCACCTCTTCATGGCCCAGCATTTTCTGGACCGACGATGCCGTGAGCTGGTTCGAAAGGTCAAACCGGCTGCAGCCAATCTGCGGTCTCTGATCTCGCAGGACCCACTGCGAAATGCAGTTCGGGATGATTGGCATCTCGGCTTACAGAATAGTCTAACCGTGGTGAACGGCAGCCTTCGTTCAGTGTTTCGGGTTTTTCGCCGATGGTCACGTCTCAAATCCCCTCGAGTCTTGGGCCAGGGCATCCTCTTGCCTTGCCCCTCAATGCCCACAGGATGACACAGATGCAAACACGTGTTGGATCTGTGTCTATGTGTGTTTGTACATGTGCATTTTGTGACTGTACATGTATCTTATGCATGCGCGTCGGCATCTGTGTCTTTGTAGCTAGCTGTCTGACTGTCTGTGCGCTGGTGCACAACCATTGCAGAGTCGAAGCGCATTTACATGAGCTCTCTCCGAGAGGCACCTCGGCTGGGCCGTGAAGGCGATGCGCCACTGTATTTTCCTAGCGATGGATCAGCACCCGGCGCTGGCAGCTTTGCTGGTGAAGACAGGCCACGCTCGCATTGTCTTTATGGAGGACCGTTTCTGGGGAGCTGCTCTGGTGAACAGCGACTTCGTCGGTGAAAACCTGGTTGGGAAGATTCTCGAGGAAAAGCGTATGCTTCTCAGGTGTGGCATACCTACCTAGCACGAGGGCAGCTTCAAATCAGGGGACGCAGCAAGGACCATCGCACCATCAAGGACATCTTTGTCGCAGCGCCTGGGTGAGACCGAAAAGGAAAGGAACTTCGAGGAGGCCGCGCAAAGATCGCCGTGCTGATGCACTGCAGGCATCGATGTCGGGCTTTGGCTATGCTGCCTGGATCGCACGAACATGTGTGCGCGATGCCACGATGCTACCTTGAATTTCCACCTGTTCCATTGCTTAAGAACTACCTCACCTTCGCCCCAGCGCTTCCTCCGTCGGAGATTGGGGGCGTCGCCCAAACGTCGATCTTGGTTGGACCACGACTTGGAGCCAGTCCAGGAGAAGGCGCGGGCCGGCGGGCCGCCTGTTAATCCGGTTGCGTTTCCAAACCGTCATAGAACTTTGGGCCAGTCACAGTGGCTGTGGCATTGCCAGGCGGCGGCTGCAAGGAACAGGACACCGGCAGCTTGGCTTGTGACCGGACAGCACAGAAATCGACGTCTCATGCAACTCTCTTTGTGCCGAAGAGGGAAGATCTGTGGTATGCAACTGTTCCTTTGCATTCAACGTCTTGCACGTCTTGCGCCGAGTAAACCTCAAGATTGTCTACAGAGGCAGCACCCCGGAAAAAGGGTGCTCGCAACCACGGACTGCCTGATTAGCAACTACAGGTAGATAGCCCTTCGCACCGTTCACAGCCCACTCGACATGTGCCTAAAAAGCAGTATTGCAGAGCACGTACGACGCAGCAGCATCGGCCATCGCATGCCCCCATGGGAAGCGGTCTTTCTGCGGAGCATGACGACACGCCCACCGCAGCCACGAAGAAGATCGCTGCTTCGGCGCTACAAGGAGAGACAGCCGCCCTTTTTGCCTTGGGGCGGCCCCGGACCGCCGGTTTTATCAGCCTGCCGGCCTGCCGGCCTGCCGGCCTGCCGGCCTGCCTTGCTAGGAGCTGTGACGAAGGCCCAATCCGAGCAGGCCATGATCACGGCCTTCAAATCCTTCGACTCAGAGCCTCCGCTCTAAGCCAAGAACCCCTCAGCCCTTCACCCTCCACCAAGCCGTCAAGCCGTCAAGCCGTCAGACTGAGCCTTGCATCGAGGATGGAAACGGCACAATCAGCAAGAAAGAGCATCGCGGCCGGCAAAGCTTGGGTTTTTGTAGCAGGTGGTTGTCGTCAACAGCGCGTGCGCCGCGGAATTGCAGGACCTTTGCCCATTCCTAGTCGGTTCTGCAGAATGATGTGGCCGAGGTTTTCGGCCGTGCTGTCAAAGCTGAACATGAAGCACCTGCCTCGACGGCTTGCAATCCCAAAGCAGCTGCGTGAGTCGCGAGTCGTACAAGGATGACAGCGCGGCAGATAGACTTGCTCTTTGATACTGTCGACAAAGACCAGGCACGCACGGCAGTTTCTAAATAGTCCACCCACCATCCACCGTGCCAGGATGGCCATATTGAGTTTGAGGAGCTTGTTTGCTGGCTTTGCGGCACGCCATGCTTCTCTAAGTCACTTGGCAGCATCAGCCGCTCATCCTCTGGGACATGAAAGCCTCCTGCAAAAGGTATTTCGAAGAGCTCGACTCTATCTTGAGGGAATACTCCGAAAAGATCAAGCCAGTTGGAAGAGGCGATGCGGTGATCAAGAATGCCGAGTCCGTCAACCAATGGCTAGCGATCCTGGACAGCAGCAGAACGAGTGTGCGGTCGTACGCTTCGCATAGGTTTGGAATGTACTTTAGAGCATTACATGACTCAGAATGTTGCAGAGTTGTGAGGTTGCATTGTCATTCGTAGGCTTCTGGGGTTGTGGGTTTGGCCAAATCAAGTTCTGCCGTTCAGGAAGGAGCTTGAGAGAAGAATACGCCCGGTTGTGAAGCTACCTGGCTGCAGCTGCACATCCGATGGGCGAGGAGCGCATGTAGTCACATTCCTCCTCACCGCCAGCAAGTCAGAGCTCGGCAAGTTCGACACTTGTCGCCTCCTAAGGCAAGTTTTTCACCAAGCCGACAAGGATTCCAATGGGATCCTCTCCGAAGAGGAGAGTGTTCTCCTTTTCTCGCAGCTCGTCAACGTTGTCACCGTTCCAGTCATCAGGGGCTGTGCTTTCCGACGTTCGGGGCCACCAAGGAACTATGCGCACACCCTGGCCAAGCATGCTGACACCATCATCCAGGCAGGGCTTTGGATTCCCTGCCCATGCTCGGAGAGCCTCGAGCCTGTGCCTGTGCGCTGCGGGCAGATTTCCAAGCCTACATGGCTGGAAAAGGGCCATTGGGACAGACAGAGCTTCAAAAAGCTGGTCATGCTCCCTCGCCGCACAGAGAAGTCTCACTCTCGCATCCACGTTTCTTTTGGTCGCCGTGCCGGGCAAGGCCAAACTTGCATCAGATCGTGACCGCGCAGAGTCTCGGCCAAAGAGCGAAGCGGAACTTCCCCGCTTTTCTCCGTGTGTGTTTGTGTCCGGAGATGCGCCGATCTCACGCTGATTTTCAGGATGTCGGACTACGAGAGCCACATCGATGCCAGACATCGGCAAGCTTTTGATGCTCTTGGTTTGAATTTATTAACCCGCTCAAAAATTGAGCTTCCAGAAGCCTCATCCTGCCCCAGGTCATTGATAAGAACAAAGATGGTCATCTCATCTTGGACGAGGTCGTGCAGTGCCTGACTCCTGGGACCTACCGGTACCGCGAGTTCCACAAGGCCCTTCAGCTTTACACCCCGGAGGGCTTCAAGGACTCGCTTGGTTCTCTGGGGCCTTCCTTGAAACTTTGACAGCCGCCAGCGTTTTCTCACAGGAAGCTTTCGACGCCGTGATCACGGCGAAGCCCAAGAGATGAGCCGAAACCTGCGGAGCAGTTGTCCACGGACCCTGGAACAGGGCCCAAAATGTGGAAGACGCATTTTGACCAGAGTTTGTGTCACTCTTGGTGGAGCCGCGAATTGCGAGCCACTGATGTATGTTTCCGTCCATGAGGCGTTTGAGGTACTCGTACCCGGCCGGTCGCTGGTTCCGGCCGCTTGAGGCCAAAAAGTCGTGCTTCTCTGACGGCTCCAAGCTGACTGCATAAGACTCTGCGCTTCAAATATGTCAAGTTGCTGCAGCCTTTTGCGAGCTAGGGGACATGGATGGTCATCGTCATATCGTGCGTGCATAGCACAATGCATGGCATGCTGTATAGCTCTCTGCATGTCACACTGCATAGTCGGGGCCTCATTCGCTTTCTGCATTGCCGGCGGGTCTGGGTCCTGCTGGCCTGCGTGATTTTCAATCATGCGTCGTACGTGTGCAGTGCAGTGCAGTGCAGCCAATTCACGCTCTGCGCGGTGGGATTCGCACGGGGTGAATGTGTCGAGGCAGCCCCGCACGTCGCTGGCAGACCCCAAGTCAGAGGTCAAGCATCAAGATTAGATGATGGCTAGGCCCGGCTGGCGGTTCTCTTTGGTTCTTTTGTTGTGAGGTGGTCCGGATGGGAGACATGTTTTGACGGCAAACTTTCTGCTCAGCCATTTGGGTTGAAGGGTTGTTTTCGGAGAGACCAAGAATAGACGCCAGCAAAGCGCCAGCCATGTCGCAGCCTGTCAGCGTCAATGATGGTGCGAAGGAGATTGTCGGCGACTGGTTCATCAAGAACGTGCAAGGGGCGGTGCAGCTGAAGATGGAGGGTGACGAGGTGCGGTCCGTCCAAACCTGCTTCGGCGGCCAGCCTGCAGTTGGGAAAGTACGGAAGGGTGAGCCCAACTTTGAGATGGACATGCAGATCGGCGGCTTCCCCATGATCGCAAGAATGACAGAAAAAAGGGAGCAGAAGTACTTGGAGTTCTCGAACGGAGGCCTTTGGTCGAAGAACCAGCCGGCCTTCACCGTGAACGGATCCAGCAATGGGAAAGTCTCTAATGGCCACGTGAACGGCACTGCGAACGGCCTCAACGGTCACGGCCCCGGCATTCCGATGAGCGAGGTGAAGAAGCACAACTCCAAAGACTCTGCCTGGGTGGTGTTACACGGCTACATTTACGACCTCACGAAGTTCCTCCAAGATCATCCCGGAGGTGAGCAGGTGATTTTGGATTGGGCGGGTAAGGATGCCACCAAGTTTTGGTCTGCCATCCACAAGAAGGACTGGATCAAGGAATACACAAAGCCTGAGTGGTGCCTTGGGCCAGTTGGACAGGAAGCGCCCAACGAGGAGTTGAAGAAAGCCCAGGACGAGGTCAAGTTCTTGAAAGCGGAGCTCGAGCGCCTCACTGCACTGCCAACGAAGCCATCGCTTGGCTTGGTCGCGGCCATGGATGCCGCCGGGGCTTGCAAGCCATCATCTACGCTGAGCTCAGATGCACCAACGCATGTGGCTTCCGAAGTTCCCCCTTTGCTGGAGCTCACTGGCAAGCGAGTGCTGGTGGTCGGCCACGGGCCAGTCGGACACGACTTCGTTCCTCGACCTGCAATGTCTTGCAACACCAAGACGTGCAGTGCATTTTGTAATTACTAGGAAGACACAGATACGCCGACAGCTGTGCCTTCAATGAGAATCTAAGAACGGTCACCTGAAATAACTACAGTAGCGTTGAAGCTTGGCGTTTGATCCATCCTTGCGCGTGACATGAGGTTGTGAAGCTCGTGGGCATGGTAGGCGATGGCGCGCTTGACATCACGGTGGTAGGAGAAGAGCCGCGCATGGCGTATGATCGCGTCCACCTTACGGAGTATTTCGAGCACCGGGACCCGAACAAGCTCTCTATGTGCGACAAGAAGTGGTTCCAGGAACACAAGGTGGGATGTACCCATGAAGTGAGAGGCATAGAGAGGCATGCTTGCGTATTCGGGAGGTTGGCCACCATACCGTAGCAATAGCTAGCCACAGTCTGGTAATGTAGAGACGGAGAAGGATCGGAATTTCGGTAGATCTTGCTGTGTATGGTTGTAGGTTGGAATCCGCACCAACTGCCGCGCCGAGAAGATCGACCGCGAAAGCTGCAAGGTGTCGCTGCGAGAT